TGATGTATGTCATGCTATGTACCCGACCTGACATATGCTATGCTGTGGAAATTGTCAGCAGATATCAGTCAAATCCGGGACGTACTCATATGACTGCCGTTAAGAATATCCTCAAGTATCTTAGGAGAACGAGGGACTATATGCTAATGTACGGTGCTAAGGATCTAATCCTTACAGGGTACACTGACTCAAATTTTCAGATCGATGTAGATTTGAGGAAATCGACATCAGGATCTGTCTTTACTCTGAATGGAGGAGCAATAATATGGAGAAGAATAAAGCAAGGTTGCATTGCTGATTCCACCATGGAGGCTGAGTATGTTGCTTCTTGTGAAGCAGCCAAAGAATTTGTATGGCTTAGGAAGTTCTTAACTGACTTGGAAGTCATTCAAAATATGCATCATCCCGTCACTCTTTATTGTGATAACAGTGGAGCAGTTGCAAATTTGAAAGAACCAAGAAGCCATAAGCGAGGAAAACATATTGAGCGCAAATATCATCTCATAAGGGAGATTGTGTAACGAGGAGATGTGATCGTCACACAGATAGCTTCGGAGCACAACATTGCTGATCCATTTACGAAGCCCCTCACGGCTAAAGTGTTTGAAGGGCACCTAGTGAGTCTAGGACTACGAGTTATGTAATCTAGGGCAAGTGGGAGAAAAGGCATGAGTATGTGATGCCCTAGTTTATTGTATTTATGTCTCTCTCTACTCAATGTTATAAAACCCCACTCGAGTTTTAGTCCAAGTGGGAGTTTCTTGGGTTTTATGTCCTAAAACTCCTAGTTTGTAAACAAAGAAATATTCTATTTTCAATAAAGTCATTATTGATGGTTATTCAGTAAAGATTGTTATTGAATAAAGTGAACTTTACGATCATTAATCTAAATCCAATAAACTAAGAACACTCTGGCTATAGTATGATTACTTGAACTATATGTAGAGACATAAAAGTGAATCAAGTTCAAGTATATAGTCAAAATGATCTACAGTATAAGGATAAGGCTGAGTACCTTATTCTGGGGACACTATACATGCGGCCCACATAAGTATATAATATAAACAATGTGATCACTAAATTGTACATGTGGAGACATGTAAGTGGGGGCGTCCTATGCAATGAGTATTGCATAAGATCGGACCATAAAGAAAATCACTCTCTCTTTATAATGTTGTTTACTGTTGAGAATGATTTTTTTTGCATTCGATGACCTAGGTAACTCAATCTTAATCCTGAGCTAACCATGAACTCCTGTTCATTCGAAATTATCCTTAGATTTGCATGGGTGAGAGTGGCTCCAGTTCGCCGACTCAATAGGCCTCCCATTTCAGGGGTAAGACTGGGTGAATAGCGGAGGACGTGGGGTGCAAGATGGAATTCGCTCCTACCCACTTTTAGGGATAGAAGAGAGGTAGTTCCCTTAAGTACTGACTCCAGGTCTTGAACAAGGGGCCCCACCCACTCATTGGCCTGAGAGAGATTTGGTTTACTGGTTGGACCACAAACCAATTGTTCATAAGAGGATTAGTGAGACATAAGGAACAAGAAGTAACTTCAGGGGTAAAACGACTAATTGACCCAGCTCTAGTTACGAACAACCTGTGAAGGATCGACTTACTAATCATGGTTATATCAAATGGACAGAAATATATTTATAGTGAGGGGAATGCAACTACTAGGCTATAGTGGAGTGTCCTAGCAGTTAACGAATGTTGGTTAACAAGGTTAATGAGTTTAACCGGTTAATCTTGGATCGTTGGATCCCATGATCTATAGGTCCATTAGGTCTCTCTACTAGCTCATATCGGACTAAACCATAGAACAGTGTGACGAGTGAGTTCGAAGTGTTCGAATTCAAATTAGGGAATATGCGCTACATATATACGATATATTTAACTGCATTTTTGTTTTATTTACGAATTACACAAAAAGAGAGAATTTGAGATATTTAAATTTATTTAAATATCTCAATCAATTATGTGTCGGAATTGATTGGGATTGACATTTGAATTAATATTAAATATTAATTACATAGTTTAATTAATCATTTAAAGTTACTTTCACTTGAAATTAATTATTCAAATTAATTGTTGAATTAAAATGAAGAAAGTCAAAATGTTGACTTCAAAAATCCATGTTAGTGAAGTTTTGAGGTGTCAAAATTTGGTTTAACAAAACTTGAATTCTTGTCAAATAAACCCCACAAGTTTGAGTGGAATTTTGAGTGTCAAAATTTGGTTAACTCAAACATGCATGCTTGCCACATAATCCTAAACATTTGAGTGGAATTTTGATGTCAAAATTTGGTGATCTCAAATTTGCATGAACATGCAAACATGACTCTTTAAATAGAGTGATCATGATACATTGAAGGTCTTCTTTCTTTAAAAAGACCTTGAGAAAATTCTCACAAGCTCTCTCTTCATATATACTAAATCCCTCCCAAGTTTAGTCACTCATCAGATTCCACAATCCCGTTCTAAGGCCGGAGGATAGTGGAGAAGACACTAGTGGTGGTTCGAAACCGGTTCGTGAGGAAAAAGAATTTTGAACTACAAAAGGTTAGTATTCAAATTCATTAAGTTTTAAGACTTATGAACATGCTAGTTATTTACTATAATTGATGTTCTAAAAGTGACTAAGATCCAAATTACTTATGCGTGTGTTATATTAACACCATCAATAGTCATATGACTATAATTAGTAATACCTATAAATAGGTCATTTCTTTCTATTGTAGAGAATAGCAGAGAAAAAAGAAAAAATACATAGAAGTAATAGAAGGGTTTTTCAAATAAACTCAGTGTTCTGTCTCTTGAATCTCGACATCTCTTTCACAAATTCGTGAGATTGATTTAACAAATTGGTATGAGAGCGAGTTTTCTTTAACAACTTAGTATCATAGCCAATGGCGAATGTGATGGGTCAAATGCCGCTACCGCGATTAACAAAGACAAGCTACAAGAATTGGAGCATCCAAATGAAAGCTCTTCTCGGTTCTCAAGATGCATGAGAGGTGGTCGAAGAAGGTTTCGAAGAACCAAAAGATAGCACGGATTATACGTAGTACAAAATAAGACGTTAAAAGAATTGCGAGCAAAGGATAAGGCGACATTATACATGCTGTTCCGAGCCGTTGACGAGTCAGGCTTTGAAAATATTGTCAGTGCAACTACTTCAAAAGAAGCATGGGACATTTTAGGAAAAATGTTCAAAGGAACCGACCGAGTCAAGCAAGAAGATGAAAAAGTCAGAAAGTGTATCTGACTACATCACACATGTACAGACTGTGGTAAACTAACACAACCGAAATGGAGAAATGTTACCCAAGACGCGGGTTGTGGAAAAGTTCTTGAGGTCATTAACCAATAACTTCGAGAATGTTGTATGTGCGATAGAAGAGTCAAAGGACTTTGCAAGGTTCACGATCGATGAACTCACCAGTTCTCTCAAGGCACACGAGCAACTTAAGAAGAAGAAGGAGGAAACACTCGATCGAGCACTTCAAACCAAGGCATCAATCAAAGATGAAAAGGTACTCTACTCTGAAAATTTATAAGGTAGAGGTTGTGGTCGTGGAAGTCACAGAAATGGTCGAGGTGGTCAAGGTAGCGGTCATGAATTTATTCCAGAACAAGGGACAGTCGAGCCAAGCAAATTAGTGTGGAAGAGGACTTAGTCGAGCAAGAGGTCGCCGATCAATTTATTCCAACATTTAGCGCTCCAAGTGTCACAAATATGGTCACCATGCGAATGATTGTAACTCTGACAAATATTACAATTGTGGTAGAATTGGGCATTTTGCAAGAGATTGTCGAGCCGATCAAAAAGTGGAAGAAATGATCAACCTAGCCTTGGATGACGCAACAAACAAAGGTATTCTCTTGATGGCCCAAAATGAAGATCTGAAAGCAAAAGAACACGGAGGCGCGAAAGATGATGACAATGTCGTGAGGAGGTGGAAGTCGTTGGAAATGAGGGGATACGCAGCGAATTTGGCGAATTCGCGATATTGGAGACGAGAAAATCGAAGAAGGATGAACAACTGTATAATAGAAAGCTTGAGCTCGAAGAGAGAGAGCTTCAATGGCGGGAAAGGGAATTTGAGGAAGAAAGAAGAAGGAGGATGAGAATGGAAGAGAAAATGGAAGGAGAAAAGATGAAATGGAAAGAAAGAATGGTAGAAATGTAGGTTGAACATGAGAAACAAAGGATGTAAATGCAAGTCGCAATCCCTTCAAAATCCTAAAACAATGGTGAAGAAGAAGCCCACGCGATCAGCGAACGAGCCAAATAAACTGCAGGATCATGATGAAGAGAACAAAGATTCAAAGCAACAACCCAAAATGGTCATGGATAAATCTGTGGAGAAGTCTCATTTGCAAACGTTGAAATCGCTGAACGAGCGCCTTTCGAAGGAGAAAGTAGAGATTGAAAAAGAAAATAAAGATTTAGAAATGGAGATTGAAAGATTAGAGAAGGAAGTGACTGAGTTGAGTGAGAGTTCTTTCTATCTCAGATAGGAGAAGGACGAGCATGAGAAGGTAATTGGTGAGCTTGTGAAGAAAATTGAAGAAAGTGTGGAGAAAGAGAATGACTTATTAATGGAGATTGACAGTTTAGTGGAAGAGTTAGTAAGGGAGGAGAAAGATGTAGAGATGCTAACTCAACAAAGAGACTCACTTGACGTGAATCTGAATCAAGTCCAACAGGAGGCAGTGAGTTCACAACACACGATTGAGATAATCACTCGTGATAAGGCCAAAATGGAGGAGGCAAAAGTAGAAGTGGAAAATGTCGTTGTGGACTTGCGAAGGTAATTGAGTAAACTGAAAGAAGCTATGACGTCTTTGGTTGAGTCGAGTATGGCTGAGAATGGGAGAAGGTTGCTGTCTCAAATGGGCTGTTTTCGAGAAGCTTCAAATGAAGTTTCGTCAGAAAAGGATATCTTAGTTTGTTGATCGAGGACAAGGAGAGAAAATTGTAGAAGCCACGACTGAGCTCGAGAAAACGAAAACGGTAAAGTTGTTGAATATAGCATTTAAGTTTATGAGGGAGTTTTATTGAATAAATGTTAAAGGTTATTTATTAGTTAATTTTAGTTGGTTTTAAATTCAAAAGTTAGTCGAAAAGAACAAACGGTTGAAAATGAAAGGCCTAAGATTTATTTGAAGAGACAACTGAATATCTATGAACACATCATTTCTTTCTATGGTAAGTTAGAGGAGAGAAAAAAGAAAAATAAATTCAGTGTTTTTTGTCTCTCCACTCTCGACATCTCTTTCACAAATTCGTGAGATTGATTTAATAGGTTTTAGCTTGGAAAGAAAAATAAATTCAGTGTTTTTTGTCTCTCCACTCTCGACATCTCTTTCACAAATTCGTGAGATTGATTTAATAGGTTTTAGCTTGGGTTATAATGGCATTCACCATGGTTCAAAAACCTGATTTTCACTCTTTCCTTCCTCCAATTGATGTGGGACCCCCGCCAAATCCACCCTCTTAGGGGCTAGCGTTCTTACTGGCACACCGTCTCGTGTCTACCCCCCTTTTGGGGACAGCCTTTTCGTTGGCACATAGTCTGGTGCTTGGCTCTGATACCATTTGTAACAGTCCAGATCCACTGCTAGCAGATATAATTGTGAGAGTCCCACATTGGTTGGAGAGGAGAACGAAACACCCTTTATAAGGTGTGGAAACCTTCCCCTAGCAGACACGTTTTAAAGCTTAAGGCGAAGCCCGAAAGGAAAAGTTCAAAGAGGACAATATCTACTAGCGATGGATCTGGACCATTACATACATGCAAAACAACCACGATCATAACACTTTAGAAGTGTTTTCGCCAAAATCCGACTCTCTAGCGTAGCTCTCCCACATAAGTAAAGATTATGAGTGCTTTTCGTCTGTAAGAGATGATGGAATGCATTTAAAAAATGTTTCTGAAAATAAGTTTGAGATTCATACTCAACGGCTGTCTGATTGGAAGCATTATTGTTAGACTATGCATGAAATTCTAATATTTAAACAAATGAATGATAAAGGTGTTACCAATTTTAAAATCATGTTCAATTTATATATGGAACTACCTTATTTCCTTTCTACTTTTCCAACCTCAACCTTGTTTTTTAAAAATTGTTTAATAATGACCTAAATATAATAATCTTGTTTGGTTTAATCATCTAAAAATTGTTTAATAATGTACGGAGACTTAAAAATTAGTATGGAAGTTTGATACGGTAATGCCCATATCGAGGATTTAAATTAGGATTTAGTAATTGATGGTCCCAATATCTCCTGCAGCATGGTCACGTTACCCACTCATCGTTACTTAAGAGTGAAAATTATCTCGATAGACCAATACGAATCCTTCAAACATATTTTTTCCTCGCTCACGTGCTTCTCAAAACATTCTTTAAGAGGTCACCGAACATAAAATTACTATAAGTAAAACACGTTTAACTATGAAGTTTTAGGATTGAGCCAACAAAAAGAAAGGTACGTGAAATACTCAATTTGAACACTTTTAAAAGTTTTATATATGTTTTCTCTATTTATTTAATATATCGATATATTAAATATTAATTTGAACACTTCCAATCTTCTTTCAAATAAATTGAATCTTTGAGCGTTACTATGAGCTAGCTAAGGGACCTTATGTACCTACAGATTATAAGCTCCAATCATATAAATTTAATTAATTAAACTCTTTAATTAATCAATCTTCATTCATTAACTCCATTAGAAACTTAGAGTTGCACTCTTATGACGGTAGGACGAGTTATGTCTATTGATATAATCATTACAAGCAAGTTGGTTCTTCACAAGTTGTTCATAATTATAGCTGGGTCAAAAGTCCGTTTTACCCCTGTAATTACATCTTTCACTAAGTACGACTGAATCTCTAATGAACAATTTATTTATGATCCAATCTTAAACCAAGTCCCTCTCGGGCCAATGAGAGGGTGGGGCCCCATTGTTCAAGTCCCGAAATCAGTACTTAAGAGAACAACTCATCTACTTTCCTTATATGGAAAGGAGTGAATTTCATCTCATGATATTATATTCCCAACTCCCTATTTGGTCAAGTCCCCAAAATGGTAAGCATGAATCGGCTAAAAGAGCCATTCTTACTCATGTAAATTAAAGGACAAGCCCTTGTTGAATACAACTCTATGTGAGAAACACTCGCACTCTTTATTAAGACCAATCGAGAAGAGAATACAAGACACTGTGTAGAATACTTTTTGGATTTCTTGGATAAATAACCTAGGTAAGGTGGAGGTGTATTTATACTAGAGCCTACACAATCTAGATCTAACAAATCTAAATCTAAATCTAACAAATCTGAATCTTTTTCCTAAATATCTAGATCTCTTCTCCTAAAATCAGATATCTTTGCTAAAATCTCTACTAAAATAAATATACAATGGGCGTACAATTATTGGGCTAGTGATGATATTTCAACACTCCCCCTCAGCACTAGTTCTCATTCGCTGCACCATGTTGAGCTGACAGCGAAAACTCTCATGTTTGCTAATATTCAGCCCTTTTATAAACAAGTCTGCCACTTGGTCATCTGTCTTGATTTGCTGCATCTCGATTTCTTCCTTCAAGACTCTCTCTAATGAAATGGTAGTGTACCTCCACATGCTTTGTTCTAGCATAAAACACCGAATTTTCTGCTAGGCAAATCGCAGATTGATTGTTGCAATGAAGTGGTATTGGATACTCAATTTTCTGGTGCCAATCTTTCATTAAAAGTTTTAACCATGTATTTTCCTCAGCTGCTCCAGCTGCTGATCTGTACTCTGCTTCTTGAGTTGACAATGATATTGTTGGTTGTCTTTTGTTACACCAAAAAATTATTCTCGAACCGAGCTTGAATGCATATCCAGTGATTGATCTTCGGGTATCATAGTTTCCTACATAGTCGACATCACTATATCCAGCTAGCTTTCAGTCTTTGCTTCTTTAGTATAAACGATCGTAATTGATTGTACATTTGACATATCTCAAGGTCCGTCGAGCCACATCCAAATGAGAGTTCTTCGTATTTTGCATATATTGATCAATGACTCCAATTTCATTTTCGAATTTCTTCGGTTGGTCCATGTAGAGCTCTCTGTTTAACTCTCCATGCAAGAAAGCATTATTCATATCCATCTGCCATAATTTCCAATCTTTATTTACCGTAAGTACGGGAGGAACTTGTACGATAATGATCTTTGCCACTGAACTAAACGTTTCATCATAGTCTAGTCCATATTCTTGAGAGAACCTTGAATCTATAGTCTGAGTTTTGTATCTCACGATTGATCCATCCGGGGTACACATTATTTCATAAGCCCACTTGTAAGATATGAGTTTGGTATCTCTTGGTCTTGGCACTAATTCCCAAGTTTGATTTTGTTCCAGGGCTATAGTTTCTTCCTCCATCGCTTTCGCCAAGCTTAGTTTTGTGATGCTTCTTCATATGTCTCCGACTCATTAACTTCGTCTTCTACTGCGTTGACATACTCTGGATTTGCCTTTAGGATTATTTCTGAATTTCGGAGTTGTTGAGGTGTCATTTCATTTTCACTAGGCTCGCTTGGTTGAGTCACTTCTTGCTCGACAACACTAGTGTCACTTGAATCTTTAGGCACATCAGCACTTAAGCAAATGTGTACAATTTTCTCCCCCGTCTTTTGTGGAAGAATCTCTTCAGTTTGCTCCTTTGTGTTCTGTAAAAGAACCGTTTTCTCCTCTGTGTTCTGTAAGAGAATTTCTTCAGTTAGCTCAAGGCTTGGTAATTCTTCCTTCTCTGAAGGCCACCCCTCTTTCATTGCACCGCTTTGATCGTCAATCATGTGGTTTAAGCATCTTGAATCAATGATCCAGTCATTCTCGTAATCGATATGCTCTTCCATCATTGCCATGAGTGCTAACTTGTCTTCTACTATTGGACATAGTACCTTTGCATCACATTCATCCTTTATCTTCTTTTTGGATATTGCCACATTGCTTTCAACTGACTTTTTCCTGGACCAGCAATCTCTAGACATCGCCCCTTTTCCCGCAATTATAGCAAATACCTTTAAATCTCTTTCCTTGGAAACTCTTGTTGTCATTCTTCTTAGCTCTCTCGGGTTGTGAAGTTCCTTTGTAACTTCTTCTTTTGTTACCATTGTATCCACGTTTGGTAGACGGCCTATTATTGCTCCGACTTTCATTTGTGTAGAGTGCTTCTTCTTCACCCTTCAATGTGATGCCTCCCATTTGTTTAGCCATGGCTTCTTGGCTGGCTAACAAATTTTCGAACTCTACAAGTGATGGTTGAGTGGGCCATCCTTGTATAGCAGTAATAAAGCTTACATATTCCGGTCGCAATCCGTGGATTATAATCCTCTTCATTCGAGATTCTACAATGGCGGACTTCGAGTCTAGTTCAGTAATCTCTCGACAAATCGACTTGACCTTGTGGAAGTACTGAGCAGTTTTCATGTCACGTTGTGAAATTGACAACAACTCATTCTCCAGAAGTTGTAGCCTTGTATCGTTCTTCTTTGAGAAGAACATCACGAATGTGTCCCATGCTTCTTTCGGTGTTCTGTCATCCCAAATATGTTCGAACATCTCTTCTCCGATTGTGGTCTTCAAGGAAAACATTGCTTTGCCTGCTTTGATTCTCCATTTGCACAAGGCGCCGTTAGAATCCTCCTCTGGCGGCATAGTTTCACACCCGCCAACGATCTCCCAAAAGTCTTGTCCTTGTAAATAGGACATCATGCATGTTGCCCACATGTTGAAGTTATTGTTGTTGAGTTTCTTGATTCCTCCAACGATTTGGAAATCACCCATCGTGTTGGCCATACCTCAGTAATATCAAACAAGCTCTTTTAACACAAGACTTGCAGAGTCACAAACTACTCACGACACAAAAGAAACTCACTCACTACTAATCTCAAGAAATCGTTTCTGATGTGGAAGATCAGATAGAGCTGCAACCACAGAGCATACTA